CAGAGTGTGTTAACAGTCACAAGACGGCGCCTTGTTTTATCCCTGACTTAGTTAATTTGAGCAGCGCTTTTGGAGCAGAGAACTGTTACAAAACTCCTACTTTCCTTTTGCTTCTCAAGTCATCAGTGAAATGAAGGTTTGAAACGTGTGGACACTTAATCGCTCATAAATGTTAAAATAGAAGCTGTACAACCGAGCTCTGTAAAGATGATATGTAGCATTGTGAAAACCCCTGATACGTGTGGTTGGGCACTTTTGGTTAACTTTCCATCTCCAGCACTCTCCCAAACACCATCGTTAACCATGCACGGTGACCACAACTACCACATTTTAATTCAGAAAGTCCCTCTGTCTATGAATGAAATCCATCTGCTGGAGCATTGTTTGGTACATTTATCTTTTCTTTTCTTTTTTTTAAGTGTGTCTGCTAAGCTTTGTGTGCATGTTAATGTGTTTGAAGTCTCAGCTACACTTGAATCTGTGTGTGTGTGTGTGTGTGTGTGTGTGTGTGTGTGTGTGTGTGTGTGTGTGTGTGTGTGTGTGTGTGTGTGTGTGTGTGTGTGTGTGTGTGTGTGTGTGTGTTTGCCCCCTCCTCGTGAAATGTTGGGTGGCAGGTTGTGTGTCGCTGGGTGGCCTGTGTAACTCTGGGCTGTAAACGAGTTGGAGGAGGGAGGGAGGGAGGAAGGAAACAGACGGAGGGAGGAGTGATGGAGCGATTTCGCTTTCAACTTCCTGCAGAGTGACATGGGGAGGCGTTGTTGCATATAAATGATGTTAATGAAGAATAAAGTCTCTGTTATAAAGCTGCTCTGAAATACAGTTAACGGGCTGCTTAACAGGGAGATGTTACATGTTTACAACCAATGAAAAGACTCAAAGCTGCAGCTGAACGGTGTGCAAAATATGTTGAAGTGCTTTAGATGTTCTGAATATCTGTTTAAGATGCTCGTGGACATATGACACACTTTTTCTACTCTGTGAAGACCAGATGTTTGATATCATATAATCTTGTTAAAATTGATCTAAAATATGAACCATAGAAGCAAGAGTGTTTTACACAACTCCAAGACATCGTCTTTAAAATCATTCAAATAATTACTGATACTTCAAACGAGTTCTTAAAAGATTGAGGCCAGTTAATGACCTCATATTGTGTGGCTTATTTTAATGTATCAAATCTGACTACACTAAAAAAATGATGAAATAGTATAACATACCTTTCCATTAATTGCAAAGTTCAACTGAAATGTTGAGTATTTGGAAATATTTTCTTCATGTTTCATCATTTATATTTTGGAATAAAGAGTGTAATATCTTTATTTAGCACTGTGATGAAAAACACGGCCATTTTTGTAGTTCTTAAAAAATCAACTTTTGATCCAGTAGATGTCGCCCTTGAGCTCCAGCGTGAAACCAAAACAAACTGCTGTTTGGCCACGCCTCCTCCATACTGAAGCCTCCGCTCTCCTCCAGAGACACACCTCCAACCCCCCTATACTCACATTCAAATGAATAAGTTATCAATTAGAAAGCACCATAATTAAACACCATTAAGCACAAGCGGTGGACAAAATTGTGCTTTGCTCGAGCTGCAATCCCCTGTGCCCTGCATTGTTGTGTTAGCATGCTAATGTTTGCGCTCTTTAGTTAGCTCGTAGCTTCACATTGCATGTAAATTTACACAGAATGAGCGTGATCTAAAAACTCTTACTAACATCCAAATAATCAGTGAGTATGTTCTTCTTCTTCTCTCCAGTTCTTGATTAAAACAGCTTTTATACACAAGGGGAGGAGCTGACCGTCCCGTCCATGTAAACAACAACACAGCCAGCGGGACTCAAGCTTCTCACTCATTGTAGACAGTCATGACTCAGAGACTCCTTAGCTGGTCTCATGTATTTCTTATCTGTCTTTTAACACAAAGATTAAAGCTTTTAGGAATTAAATCATGCTCAAATTTCCCCTTGAGGCCGATACTGAAGCCTACAGTAAGTTAAGAAGATGTATCCACCCTTTATCTGGATGATGACGGTCATTTATTTTCCTTGTGTTTACTTTAAAATTCTTTCTGTTTTGGAAGGAAGCTTCATTAAAAGTGTGACAGTTCATGCATGCAAAGACAAGGTACAAACAGCAGATATGCATTCAAAAGCATGCACACACAAACACCATCTCTCACAGGGAGAAATGTTTATTGTCTCCAAGTCAGGCGTGCACACAATGACTCAGACACACACACACACACACACACACACACACACACACACACACACACACACACACACACACACACACACACACACACACACACACACACACACACACACACACACACACACACACACACACACACACACTCTCACACAGATGGATGAGTGTGCAGTGACTGACAGTTGAGTCATCGGCCCGGCAGCCACCATACATATTCTAATGGGGCCTCCAGGAAAGAAAACTTTCAGACGGTGGAGGAGAGGGGCCATTATTTCCAGGCAGCATAACGTCACCGTCGACTGACAGAGCTCCTGTCACTGACGGGGAAATAAAGATTTATACTGAAGAACACACACTGTAATCTTAAAATGAACCTTTCAGTCACAGCTCTTTGAGAGCTCACTGTTTGGAGGAGTGAGGGCTTTATTTTTAAAAACACAGTTTGAATGGCTCATCCTGTGGCATTCCTGGACTCCATCTTGAAATCCACCTCATACTATAATCAGTTTATGGAGTCTGTAATATAAAAATATAAGATTGTCAGTGACCGATGGGCAGGTGGGATCAGCACAGCATGATACAGTGTGTCATGGGTGCTGTCCATGGTGCTGAACCTGGCGCCTTCAGAAGTTCAGGAGCTGTCCATGGTGCTGAACCTGGCACCTTCAGAAGTTCAGGAGCTGTCCATGGTGCTGAACCTGGCACCTTCAGAAGTTCAGGAGCTGTCCATGGTGCTGAACCTGGCACCTTCAGAAGTTCAGGAGCTGTCCATGGTGCTGAACCTGATACATTTAGAAATCCAGGAGCTGTCCATGGTGCTGAACCTGGTACCTTTAGAAATCCAGGAGCTGTCCATGGTGCTGAACCTGGTACCTTTAGAAATCCAGGAGCTGTCCATGGTGGCACGATTTCTACTCTCACTCAGGCTGAATCTCGATTTCCTCCTCAGACCCTGATTCTTAAGCACCTTAAGGGCTTAATTGAGGTCACCTGGAAAGTGACTGAATGCACGAGGCTGCAAGGGCTCCAAATGGTTCAATGGGACGGCACTTAGTTTGCGACTTCTCTGTAACCATGACAACACAATGTCATGTTGCTCTCCTTAGCAGCAGTAGGACTTTTGATTTTACTTTTTTTACTTTTCCTCACAGCCAAGGAGCTTATACAAAGTCCTTACACACACACACACACACACACACACACACACACACACACACATACAGGGAGTGTGTGAGCGTGGACATCGAGATCGGGCTTCTGATTCCCAACAGACAAAAAACATGATTCCCTATCTTTGAGTGACTGTGTTAGATTCAGCGGCGGCTTGACACCTTTGTTAATTAACACCTCTGAGCGGATCGGTGCTAAGTATACTGTAACTTTCAGCAGGTATGAAACCCAAACAACAGGTGCTTTGGAGCTTTAATTTAGTATACATTGTGTGTTTTGATCAGGATGGATCTCTCACTAAAGATTTATAGAGTCTGTGATATCATGATGGCTCTTTTTGCCTGGGTATTATTGATTAATGGATGTTGTCCTTGGCATTGGAGTGCACAAACAGAGATAAAACTTTGAATCGTTTCATTTTTTACTCTTTATATTGAGGGGTTTTGAGTATCTCGCTTGGAAAAGACGCGGCTGCATTTAGTTTGAAACAACATCAGGGAGAAATAAACCACTCTCTGCTTTTAGTCCTGACAGAGGCCATTATTTTAAAGTAGCATAATGTGAAAGAGTGGCTGCAGAGACGCTGTCAGCAACACGTCAGCGGAGTGATGGATTAACGCCACAGGTGGAGAAACTGGCTCCGTGAATAAAATGTCTCCTTTAAGCTTTTAGTGGCAGCTGTTGCAGAGTTTAAACTGTGTCTGCTTCCACTTTACATCTGCATCTCATTTCATCACCGAGGGGTCTGAGGTCGCATTCATTCTGCTGCAGGAAGAAGTGTGCATTTAATCATCTGACAGTGGAAACCTTTTGCAGCATTGTTTACAACGGGCTGAGCATTTACAAAGGCATGTAAAATCCAAACCTGAGTATGAAGTTAAGTCTGGAAATAATGGACTCATCAATGTCCCTTTTCTTCTTTACTGATATTTTTTATTGTAGAAATACATGTTGATAAATCTCAGAGCTCCACAAAACATGTGTAAAGTTTCTTGTTCTAAATCCACTCTGATCCTGTATTTGATCATGCCTATAAACCCCTCTATTTCAGCCCTGCTCAGAACAGGCTGTTTCTGTGTCTGTACCTTTAAATATGTAAATGAGCTGTGTCTGACCACGCCCCCTCTCTGGAAGGGCTCGGGTGTGCTCAGGCTTTCTCGCTCCATGTCCTATTGTTTACGGTGAGAAGGCAGACTCAGAGGGCAGAACAAACACCTAGCCTGGGCGAGGGGTTAATGCCCTTTGTGATGTCATGAAGGGAAAATCGCCAAACGGCCTGTTTGAGCACACATTTTCTGAAAAGTGGAGCAGGTGAAAGACGGAGAGGATGGACTTTTCTCATCATTGGGGGTTTTGTGGACAGACTAGGGACACATATTAGAGCTAGAGAAATTTGAGGATTTTGCAGAATATGCAACCTTTATAGTTTTCTTATCATGGGGTTTGGCTTTAAACAAAGAGAGTGAGGTCAAACTCCATCTTGGTTTGTTGTTCTCAGCTCTGTGTTCAAACTGAAGGGACGTTTGTTGTTTTCATGAGAACCCCTCCCTCTCCGGCCGTTATCCCTTCAATCAACAATAATCTGCTCTTCAGTAACCATCTCTGATCTCTTTCCACAGCTCCACCCACGCCCATCGCTCCACCCGAGCTCCTCGCCGTCGGCGCCACCTACCTGTGGATCAAACCCAACGCCAACAGCATCATCGGGGACGGGCCGATCATCCTGAAGGAAGTGGAGTACCGCACCACGTCGGGGAACTGGGCGGAGACTCACGTGGTGGACGCCCCCACCTACAAACTTTGGCACCTGGACCCGGACGTGGAGTACGAGATCAAGGTGCTGCTGTCCAGACCGGGTGAGGGGGGGACGGGACCACCGGGGCCACCGCTGGTCACCAGGACCAAATGTGCAGGTAGGGGACGCCTCTTTTAGTCTGTGAACTTTCTCTTTCTTTCTCTTTTTTCTTAAGTTTGTTCTCTTTTGTTCAGCTTTCTGCGAGGTTCTCCTTTCTGTCTTTCTTCTTTCTGTTGCTGATGACATGAACGGTCTTGTTTTGCTGACTGAAGACAGTTGCTTTGTTTTCTTGTCGTAGATCGATGTTAAGAACTGGATCATCGACTCAGTCAAAATGTTGTTACTTGAAACTTAAGTCAAGTTCAGACCAAAGATTCAAACATTCATTCATACTTTTTTTAGACTAGCAGAATCCGAGTTGCTGCAAATTAAAAACTCATCATTTTAGAAATCTTTGGAAATTGGACTTAAAAGGTAAACATGGTCAGGTTTTGGTCTTGATTTGGTTCAGATTTATTCCCTGTGGTTTGATTCCTACAAAGCTCTGAGAGCAGACGAGCAAATGAACATCAAGAGGAAAACTTTTCCAATTACGTCCTCTTCCTCTCATTCTTGAGAAATGAGATCAGAAATCAAAGATGATGAGAATAATCGGGATGTTGAGAAGGTTCCCCGCAGATGAAGGAGGTGAAGGAGAGGTGGAGAGCCAGGGTCAGAGGAGGAGACGATGAAGGGTTTGGGGGGGGGGGGGGTTATGAGGGGGCAATCATGGTAGATAATGAGGGTCCCAGCGGGGGTGTGAGGACACAACGAGTGCTCCTCATTTCATAAAGTGACAGCCAATCAGATCTCTGGTGTTGTTTAACCTGGCAGGGAGTCGTCACCCTCCTCTTCTGTCTCTTTTCTTCCTTTCTTGGAGGATGTTTTTGTTTTCTCCACATTTTTGTCATGGAGCTAGAATGTGTCTTCTCTAACCTAAATCACTTCTTCTTTCGTCCTTTTATTGTCTTTAATTTCTCCTCTTTATCTCTCGTTTTTTTTACCCCTTTGCACATTATCTTCACATCATCTCCTCTTTGTCTGCCTCCAGTTTCCTACTTTTATTCGACCTTTTGAACGCCTCTCTCTCTTTTTTCTTTCACCTATTTTTTGTTTCCGTAACGTCTTGCTTTCTTTCTCTCTCCTTTGCATCCTTCTCTTAATTTTCTTCATTTGAAGCATCTGAGATTAGCAGTTTTATTCGGTTGATATTTTCCTCTTTTTGTGTGTGTGTGTGTGTGTGTGTGTGTGTGTGTTTGTGGTATCTTGAGTCCTCCCTCTTGTTTTCTTTCTCTGTTGTAATCAGCAGGTGAAAATGAAGTGTTAATGGCACCCTCTCTCTCTCTCTCTCTCTCTCTCTCTCTCTCTCTCTCTGTCCTAACGTTACCCTGCTGTCACCTCTCCTCCTATTAACATCCTCTGTATTTACCTTTATCTTCAATTACACTGACGAGGCAGGATGATTTCTCATATTAGCATCAAATTCTGAATATCATGTCTATAGTGCTGAACACAATCATATCTCCCCCAAAAAATATAATAAAACAGTGAACAGAACTACAGCTAGAATCTTTAATTATGCACATTAGTTTTCTTTTATTATTGAGATCTATGAATATGTTATTATTTACCGTTTTTATTATCGTTTGGTTTGAAGAGGCTCTGACTGCTCACACACATCTGTGAAGTCTTAACTGATAAAACCAAGAAAAGCTTTGATTACCAAACGCCTTCTCCCCTCTCTGATGTGAACTGTAAGACTAGATTTATTTTGAAATCATTATTCCCATTTAGAGCAGCTGAAGAGTTTCTCTGAAGTATGAACTAACACGTGTTGGAACAGACTTCATCTTTGGCTAAATCTTTTATATCTCCCGCCCTGCTTTTGGCTGACGACTCATTTCAACTTTCTCTCGATATGAATCTTCAATCTTTCACACTTTGCAGACTTTGCTTGGACAAAAGTTGAGATTTAAGTCTTACGTTACAGAACATGTGTGTGTGAGTGTGTGTGTGTGTGTGTGTGTGTGTGTGTGTGTGTGTGTGTGTGTGTGTGTGTGTGTGTGTGTGTGTGTGTGTGTGTGTGTGTGTTTGCAGTGCATGCAGAGATCGCAGACAGTTTCCAGCAGGCTTACAGAAAAAGATAGAGGGTGGGAGGATGAGCAAAACTAGAGACAAAGAGAGTAGAGAGAATAGAGCTGGTGGTCACTCTGTGTGTGTCTGTGTGTGTGTGTGTCTGTGTGTGTGTGTGTGTGTGTGTGTGTGTGTGTGTGTGTAAATGGCAGCAGAAAGGAACATGTGTTTCTGGGATGGAGACGCTGTGTTGACGGAATCGGAGCAGGCAGGTATGACAGATGTTCAAAAGCCTGCTGGCTACAGGCACTGCTGACGTGTGTGTGTGTGTGTGTGTGTGTGTGTGTGTGTGTGTGTGTGTGTGTGTGTGTGTGTGTGTGTGTGTGTGTGTGTGTGTGTGTGTGTTTGTCTCCACTCCTCTTGTGTTCACCTTTCTCTTCACGTTAGCTTCTTCAGCTCTGCCCAAGCCCCAAAAAACAGGAACAAAAAAAAAAAAAAAACACTTAAAGCAGCTCCTCCTCTCCTCTCGCCTCCTCCATCACTCCTCTCTCGTCACCGCCGTCCTGCTGTCGTCGACGCCTCAGCCGGCTACCAGGGAAGTCGTAGCTCCAAATGGGATTCAGGCCATTTCACCAATAACCCCTGACTGCTGCAGCTCCAGGGGGATCCAACAACGATTTGTACCCGTGTGCCTGGCGTAGCACATTAGTGAGAGCGGACTAAAAGAGCCGAGCGAGGAGGGCGAGCTGGAGTGAACTCCATGTGTATTTGAGGTGCAGCGAGGACACGGCCTTGATAATGATTGATATCATCATCCGTCCCTCCTCCTCCACCTCCCTCCATCCCTCCATCCCGCCTCCCAAATCACTCCTCCTTTACTTTCCAAGGCTCCTGAACAATCCATCGGCCTGTTTTTCATTTAGATAACTTCTCACATAAACAACACTCAGCGGGCTGCTTGTTCCCCTCGCTCCTCCGCTGACCTCCATGGTTTGGTGCTTCCTTTAAATGAGCCTCTTTCGCTCCCATCCATCTCTGATAATCTTTCTCTCTTTAGTTTGTGTCTCTGCAGCAGTAGAGAACTGTCAGAGCTCAAGAAAAAAAAGAAAAACACTCTCCGGACATTTTTACCAGCCCTTGATCTTTACGTCTCGTTCCCTCATTCCCTCGTTCCCTCTCTTTTATCTCCCACTTCTCCTCCCCTTTTTCATCTCCTCCACCTTAAACTCAATTCGTCCCAAACATGCACTCTGAATATTGGCTCTGATCTTTGTCTCCATAAATATCGCCTTGTTACTTTTACTCTTTTCGTCTTCAAAGTGCAACAATCTCTCCTCTCCTCTCCTCGCGCTCCGTCCCTCCTGCCGTATAAATTACTTTTATGTGAGCGATGATAATGTAAGTGTTGGCTAATATGTTCCCCTGTAAAGATGGACTTTTAATTCACCCGCTGTGCATAAATCTGCCCTTAGTATCTTTTTCCTCCTCTCACATTTCCTCTCCTCTTTATAGCAGGCAGATGCTAATGTGAATGTTGGCTAATCCGCAGCACTCTATAAAGACTTAATTCACCTGAGGGTTATATACTACGTCTACGGCCCCCCACCCCTCCTCCCTCCTCCACCCGTCTCGGCCGTTTCTTATAAAGTAGATCTTTAAGTGACGGATGGTAATGTGAGTGTTGGCTAATGTGTTGCTTCATAAAGATAGATTTTTAATTCACCTGCGGGGTGCAGACTGATTTGGCTGACGCGACTGCTTCAGCTTTCTGCAGAGTTAAGCAGTTTAGATGCAGTTAAGAGTGAGCGAGCGAGCGAGAGAGAGAGAGAGAGAGGAACGATTCTGCATTAAACACTAACACACTCCGAGTGCTCGGAGCTCACTTTGTGCAGGTATGGAGGTGCTTAATAACAGTCTGGATCTGTTAGCTTTTTGTTGCAATAGGCCCATTGTGCTGAAAAGCAAATAACAGGTCTGCGCTGCTTTTTTTTCAGCTGCCTGTTGATGAGATAAGTGCAGCCTTTAGTCAGGAGCAGATGTTAACAGATGCTACAAGAAAAGGTTGAATCTCTGCCCACCTGCACCCAACTTCAGCTACTGTCCTCTCTGAGTCCAGCTCTCTGAAGACCAATTCAAAACCAGAGCGTAGATAAAGACGGGATGTAGACAGCGTTAGCATCACCTGTTTGGTTTGTTGGCTGACCTTTTTTGAAGCCAAAAGTTTTTGACTTTTTGTTCTCTAAATATCTGGAAGAGAGGGTGTATCTGGGGAGCCGTCGATCCCAGTCAGTCGCTACCCATCGGCCCCCTGTCTGCCGTTTTTCGGCCGATCCGACATGTTGAATTGGCGTCAGTCGGCATCAGCGCGGTTGGTGAGAGGAGGATAGCCTAGTGGTCGTGTGCACACCTCATGTGGAGGATGAAGTTTACCAAGCAGGCTCAAGGTTCAAATCCGACCTTTTTTACCTGAATGTCTTTCTCCTCTCTCTCTCTCTCTCTCTCTCTCTCTCTCTCTCTCTCTCTCTCTCTCTCTCTCTCTCTCTCCGTATTGTCCTCTTTTCTCCTCTCTCTCTCTCTCTCTCTCTCTCTCTCTCTCTCTCTCTCTCTCTCTCTCTCTCTCCGTATTGTCCTACTTTTTCGGTACCCTTCTGTTGGGGAGCCAAGGGTAACGAGCCGACCCTAAAGGGCCCCTTTGTTTACTGTGTCCCGTTCTTCTTCTTCTTCTTGAACGTTGAACTTAATTAATAGCGGGCTACACTGTGTTGGGCTGCTATGATGTCACACTATTACATAGCTGACGCGGCTATCTCCATCTGGCTTACACTCCACGTACCAAATAAGAGGACGGTTGGCTGTGGAAAAGCAAGCAAGATCAGGGTTTACCGTACCGAACAGTACCAAACCGGACTGCTTTGTGGAAACGGAGCTTAAATAAAAAGTGAAAAAAACGAAGATATGCTAGTAGAAAAGTATTTCTCTCGTGAAGGGGGGTCGTCTTCTAATCTGTATCGGCTCATATTCAGGTC